AATTTCTACTGCAGACATTCTTAACAACTTAAAAGTACATAAACCTCAATTATACAGTAACTTTAACAAATGAGCACAAGTCAACCTGCCATACCAAACAAGACCACAGGGAGACGCCAAAGGAATGCATACACGGATCCATGCAGAATAACTAAACACACCAAAATACAAATGAAAAATGAAACCATTCTGAATGTGTGGAAACTCAGCGATCGGAAGGCGGGTCGATGTCATAAAAATATTCAGTTGTGTTAAATTTCAAATGTTTAATATTCAAGTTTAAAAAAAAAAACAATTCAGAACTATGTTAAATGTCACATAATATTCAGTTTTGTTAAATGACACTTGTCAATAATTCAAATTTACACAATACAAATTCAATTCGTTTTGTCATATTATAAGCTCCATACATTTGCCCGTTGAATATCTAGCAGGGATTAAATTTCATGAACTGTGAAACATTCTATCACTGTATTAGACTGGGCTCTTCAAAATAACCCATTTTATTCACATGTTTGTAAATGCAGACTGCATTGCTAGTTGCTTGATTTTATATACCTGCGATTATGAGTCTGATTGAAACACATAGATTCAATAATTAAGACATGTCTCGATACATTTGTCCATATAGTCGCCACAACTTGCATTTAAGCAGATAATGTTATCTTTATATAGCATATGCCCTTCTGAAGGGGAAATTAAAAGCTCTCTTATCTCTCTGCCACACGTCTCCAACTTGGCCGGTCCCCTTAATGCAAGTTTAACTTATTAACTGCTTTTTTTTAGAAGTAAAAATAGTCGATGATAAAAAGTTAAACCAGATTTTTATTAGAAGACGACAACAACTGTTCATGGCAAAAGTCACTACCGAGATGCCAGAGCATTGCTATGAGATTATAGGGTTAACATTAAGTCTGTAACACAAACCAAGACACTGGCCATCATAGTGTATGTTGTATAAAATAAGATTTAATAAGGAAACAAACACCCATAAATAAGAATACTAAGGCATTGAAAGCCAAATACTCATTTAGAACCAAACCCAGAAAGAATTTACAAAGAATTTCTTTGAAATGTGTTTTATTCAGTTATCCTCCAGGTGTTGGTTTAAATTGGACTAATTAGTAGTAGAAGTGGTTTGGATTCTATAATGCTCTAAATTCAGACCAACACAGACAGCGGGTTCTCTTCAGTGCTGTGTCAAATTAATACATTGTTTGAACTGTTTCTTTTTTACACTGCAGCTTCATATCGGTTCATGATACCACACTGAAACGTCTTGCAATACTGGGAAATACTGAGAGCGAAGAAAATGAAGAGACCGTCAGATTTTTTACAAATGAATGCACTTATACCCAAGGGTGAATCTCATGAAAACCGACAAGAAATGTTCAGGTCACATTTAAAAAGCTAAAGAAATAAGAAATTATATTTTGCTTAAACATGAAGCCTATCCCTTTTTTAATGACAAGAAAATGCAATTCTCTCCTCAAGTTCTCATTACCGTAATAAATATATGTAATTTAAATTCCAAAGTACAATTTGAATTATGCATTATAGTGTTATGTGTTACACTGGAATTATGTTTTTAATAAAAAAGGACAGGATAATTATCTTTACTGTTTTATGGTACAATGAGAATGATTTTTTAAACATTCCTCTAAGAATTTGAGAGGAAATGTGCTGAAATATCATGAAAATGAAACCTGTTTTAGGAATATTAATATTTGCTTGCATTGTGATATAATTTTACACCCAAATTATCATTACCATAACATTCAATAATGTATATAATATTCAAAATTGTATGTAAATGCTGATTTTAATAAAAAATGACAGAAAATATATTATTACTGTATTACCGTAATGAGAATGAGTTTTTGGCGCATTAAGGTAATAAGAAGTAAATTAAGCAAATTTCACAAATTCTCATTACCGTAATATATTAAACATATTTAAAATTGTAAGTATGCATTATGGTAGTATGTGTTAAACTGAATTTATGAAGTTTTTAATTAAAAAACGTAAAATGATCATCAGCGTATCACGGTAATGAGAATGAGATTTTTTTTTGCCGCATTATGCTAATGAGAATCTTGTCTTTTTTTTTTTTTTGCATTACAATAATGCGAATTTGGAGAAAATGTGTTTGTCATGAAAATATGTCAGAGTGTAAATCTTAATGGCTTCATTTGATTAATGCAAATTATAATTTTCTTTCTTTCGAATATATGGTGAATTGTGACCCGGACATTTCTTTTTCAGGTTCATGCAAATAGGATATTTTGTTTGCATTCACTCTGAATGTATAAAAGAACTGAAAATCAGCGGTAATTCTGTGTGAGCACATTGGTTTTCATCCGTTATGGTACTAAGGCAATGAAGAATACGCACTAGAATCAACAGAAACAGCACTGGACCGCCAATAAAAGGAGAAAAAATAAATAAAATCAAGAACCAAAAATACCGTGTAGTCAGAATCAAAAATCGCATTGTGCAAAGTTGGGCTGATGGCTTTGTGAAGCCAATACGAGTCAGTTCTGAGTGCAACCAAACGCACACACTGCTTCAGTATACAGCCTGAAGATCAAATCCAGTCCTGTCCGGTTCTAGATGGTCTGGTGTAACGTGGAGACGCCTCAGATGTGTCAGTATGAAGGTCAAAGGCCCGCTGTTTCAGGATATCGAGGAGAACTCCTTCAGCAGGACGTCCTGACTCATGGTACTCAGAGACACGTTCTTCCTCACGTTCAGACTGATGGAGCGAACCTGCAAACACAACACAAAAAACTAACTCATTTCCTGACAGCCGCCATCATGAACGGAGAAGTGTGTGAAGCTGGCCATAAATTCACTTCACATTGAAATTGAAGGAGTTCCTCAGGGCAGAGGGACTGAGCTCAGGAAAAGAAGAGTTGGGATGATACCAAGATATTTGGCTTTACAATACAATACAATACAATAAACAGACAGTATTTAGATTGTTGAATTTGTCTGATGTATTTGCATATCATGAAACAACAATATATATTAATTAGTGTTATCAAACGATTAATCACGATTAATCACATCCAAAATAAAAGTTTTTGTTTACATAATATATGTGTGTGTTCTATATATATTTATTATGTATATATAAATACACACACATACATGTACATATTTTAGAAGAATATGTTGTTTATATATTAAATATATTTTTTTAAATATAAATTATATGAAAATAAATATAGACGTAAATATTTTCAAAATATATACTAAATGTGTGTGTATTTATATATACATAATAAATATACACAGTATACACACACATATATTATGTAAACAAAAACTTTTATTTTGGATGCGATTAATCGTTTGACAGCACTAATATTAAACCAATAATTTAAATAGACAAGAAATATGATCATATAATTTTCATGCAAGGTCATAGAACTAACAGGTATCTATTATTAACTAAATGTTATTTAATTTTTTAGGCGCATGTCTCACTTTTCCAAATATATTCTTCGAATATTCCACAACATAAATAGGGCTCTATGAAATCAGTTTTATTTTTCTCCAATTTCAGTGTTTTCCTTATTAGTTTTTCCAGAATTTGTTTCGATAATTTTAATTAAAAAGGATGTCTAACCATAATAATAATTAATAGTTCATTAAAATTTTAACAATAGAATTGTTTGAATTGATTTTTTTCCTGTTTGAATGTTTTATTTTTTCCAGAAATTCTGTGTTGTCGGTTTTATTTTTTCTGGATTCTGTGTTTTATGATTGAATGAATGAATAAAAACTATCAATTTAACGAATCTTGTAAAATGAAATTTTGACAATTTTGAAAATTTTTTGGCAAAAAAATGCTGCATAATGAAGGTTTACGCGTGAAAAAAAAAAGGATTAAAATGTGTGCAATATTATGCAATATTCTTTAAAAATAATGATTTATTAAACTATATTATTATTGTACTAATTATTATTACTTTGAGAAGTACATTCTACTCTACAATAGTAACATATTTCTGCCATAATTTCTGGTTCACATTAAACCAAACTTTTATTTTGGCGGGTTGTAGCGGAGAGCAAATGTAATGGTGAAGTGCCTCTCAGAGCAGCTCTGGAGATGAAGTATACAGTGAGGTGACAGACGCTGATTTTGCCAACCACCACATTTTGTGATATTCTTCTTTGTACTGTAAATATAATTGTTACGACTGCATTCTGTGATTTCTGTGAACTTTTTGTTGTATTCTGTAGCATGCAACCCAAAGTTAATGTAGCCAAAGGAAGGAAGCAGCTCGCTAAGCAAACTCAAAAGCTTACCAGCTCCTTGAAAAAGCCGGCCTCTCTGGGCTGCTCGGAGTAACGCTCAAACTGATCCAGACCGTCCTGCAGCTTCAAGGTTAGCGTGTCGTAGTTTGAGCGCACCACCTCCAGCACCTACAGATGAGAAAACGACATAAACCGCGACACAACTACAAGAAATCTCCCAGGTCCAACTCAACACTGCATGGACACAAATCCACTTACAGTGAAGGACTCTGGCATATTATCTGTTTTATTATAATGGTCCATAGACATGTGGTTAAAGGGGTCATATGATGCGATTTCAATTTTTCCTTTCTCTTTGGAGTGTTACAAGCTCTTGGTGCATAAAGAAGATCTGTAAAGTTGCAAAGACTTTCACCGTGGACGAAGCGGAATCCAGCCCGGGGTCCGTCACATCTGGTTGCCGCTCATTCATCGCATCCGCCAGGCGCGCCGTTCTCGATCCCACTGCCTCAGCTCACTCTAGCCCGGCCTCAGCGCACGCTAAGCCGGGGCTTCCCCTCACGCTAGGCCGCTGTGGAAAATTCTGTCATTAATTACTGGCGCTGACCCAGATCCGGCGTAATGACGTCATCACCGCCACACGCTCGAGTCATGGTACTGTCGTGAACGCGCATCCACAAGTCACACGGACTACTTTGTCGATCATCTTGGTACTTTTTTGGACCTTGAACGTGGTAGTTGCCTTGCTGTCTATGGGAGGGTCAGAGAGTCCTCAGATTTAATCAAAAATATCTTAAATTGTGTTCCGAAGATGAACGGAGGTCTTACGGGTTTCGAACAACACGAGGGTGAGTAATTAATGACAGAATTTTCATTTTTGGGTGAATTATCCCTTTAATGTCTAACTGAACTACAGGAACACACTTTAGATAAAAAGCTAGTGGAGTGATCACATGACTGCTGATACAGCCATGAACCCCTGCAGTTGGCACAAGCTCTCTGTTTATCCTGTTTATCAGCTGACCAAGCAAGATCAGTAGTAGTTTGAGAACTTTACACTCATCTTATAATATCGAACATGTAATATTTGCTTCCTTGTAGTTGGTATACAAGTAGTTGGAAGTTGGCAGCTGGAAATGGACAAAACGACAACAACAAAAACTGTATCTAGAGCTGTTTGTCTCTTTATTAACGTTCTTGTTGTTTTATCATTTGTATTTTAGAGTCTCAAAATGTTGACCTTTAAAATCATTAAAATGTATTTACATTACAAATGTTACAGGGAATTTATATTGTCCTTTCTTTCAAAAAAAAATGCTAAAACACATTTTTAAAATAAAATCAATTGAATTAAACTGTCATGTACTTGTATGTTTAAAATAATATTTAATTACTAATATTTTCTGTAATTTTACCTTGAAAAAATATTTTGGTAGCATTTTTATAATTTAATTAAATCTATAATAATTTTAATTAAACCTAACGATATTTTACTGCATTTCTATAAATAGTTTATTAAAATGTAATGATGTTTTATAAACAATAATATTTAAATAATACTTTTCGTCATTTTACCTTGAACAAATATTTTTATACTTTCTTTTGGTAGGTCTTTTATAATTTTTTTTAAATAAAGTTAATAATATTTAATAAAATAATTTTCATTAAATGTAATGGTATTTTACTACATTACTCCTTTAATAAATATTTTATTAGAATGTAATTATATTTTTGAAAGTAATATTATTCAAATAATATATGAAATAATATTTACTGTCATTTTACATTGGAAAAATATTTTGGTCGATTATTTTGATACTTTTTTTATTTTAATAAACCTGGATTAAAAAAATAAATAAAATAATTTTAATTAAATGTAAGGGTTTTTATATTTTAAATATTTTTAGTAGAATGTAATGATGTTTTTCAAATTATAGTATTTATATAATAATAATATTTTCTGTCATTTCACCTTGAAAAAAATATTTTGGTAGCATTTAAGTCACTGGGGTATATTTGTAGCAATAGCCAAAAATACATTGTATGGGTCAAAATGATTGATTTTTCTTTTATGCCAAAAATCATTAGGATATTAAGTAAAGATCATGTTCCATGAAGATATTTTGTAAATTTCCTACCATAAATATATTAAAACTTAATTTTTGATTAGTAATATGCATTGCTAAGAACTTCATTTGGACAACTTTAAAGATGATTTTCTCAATATTTTGATTTTTTTTGCACCCTCAGATTCCAGATTTTCAAATAGTTGTATCTCGGCCAAATATTGTCCTATCATAACAAACCATACAACAATGGAAAGCTTATTTATTCAGCTTTCAGATGATGTATAAATCTCAATTTTGAAAAATTGACCCTTATGACTGGTTTTGTGCTCCAGGGTCACATATGAGAGACAAATCAAAACTGTTTCCTGTGTCAATCACGGAAAGATATAATTTCAAAATAGCGTTCCCAAAACTACAAGCTGTTTGAGGTCACACTGTGAGCAGTCATTTTACATCGGACGGGTCTGGAGTTTGACTGGGACACTCCAGGGCATGAAACGGGCTGATGGACCACAAATCCCCAAACTTAAACTAAACTAAGAGAGCCAGAGCGGCTGGACAGAGGTGTGTTAGAGGGCATGCGGGAGCATCTGGCAAAGCGAGATGAAAGAGACGAGAGTTCGGGACTGCGAGCGACAGCTGGAGTAACCCTCTGTAAAACTGACCTCACTTCCAGCACACAGCATCATTACCCTACAGATCAAAGGCTAATTAAGCAACACCTGTGACCGTCCCAATCAGCTGCTTCTCATCCACACACATATACATAGTCTTTGCTTATTCAGCTTCCAAACCAATTCTCTCATTTCAATATACCTTTTGGTGTACTTGGATACAAACTATTAAATATGAATGTTTTATTAATATATTAATAATTATCATCCATTCATATTATTACAATAATGTTATATATTATTAATTAAACAATATCTACAGTTTTTAAATTATTTTAACTTATTAAAAACACACACACATATATATATATATATTATAAATAATTTAAATATATTAAATATATGTTCAAAGCTGTATTTTCAGCATCATTACTCCAGTCTTCAGTGTCACATGATCTTCAGAAATCATTCTCATATACCGATTTGCTGCTCAAGAAACATTTCTGATTATTATCAATGTTGAAAACAGTTGAGCTGCTTCATATTTTTGTGGAAACGGTGATACATTTTAATCAGGATTGAAAAGAAAAAATAGAAATATTTTGTTACAATATAAATGTCTTTACTGTCACTTTTCATAAATTTAATGCATCCTTAAGTATTTCTTTCTTTAAAAAACTGACTTCAAACTTTGAACGGTAGTGTTTATATTATATATTATATTATACATAAATTACAATATATTACAATAAGGCTAAAAGTTAATGTTCTTTGCAGAAACCCATTAAGATCTCATTAAAGTCTGCTTGATCTTAAGGCATCAAAATGACTGTGAAAACAGTCCACCTGATGTGAAGTATTCAGTTACCTGATCTTCTGAGAGCTGTGAGATGTGGTTCACAGCAGCGTATGACTCAATCTTAGGGTTGAAGTGGTTAATAATTGCTCTGAAATTACAGAAAGAGGCAAAATGAGATATATTTCAAAAGCTTCAGCATGCGACCTGCACTGAAAACAGCCCAGAAGCCCCACACTAGAGGTCCTATGACACAGATCACACATCTGTGTGTGAATAAAAGGTAACGTTACAGAGAACTGTCAAAGGTGTGGTCTTATAAATATTCTGCTGTAATGCTCTGCATTATGCATGCTTCAAAAAAAACAGCACTCGACTTCTTTTGTGCGGCACAAACACATGGTGACATCTCTGAAAGCCCAGAGAACGTGTCCACATTACCTCAGACTCTAAAATCAATAATTAATTCACCATTCCCTCACACACAAACCAAAATAAAGACTAAAATACTAATTTTACCAAAGCTATCCAGTGTTAGTGATTGACTTCAACTAAACTGATTACGACCCTCCACGATTTCACCCATCTTTACAACATAACTTGCATGCAAATAAAAGTACATTATATATATAGACCATATGACCCCTTTAAAGTATTTTAAAGTAAGATTTTTAAAACTGATCATTTAAACAAAGAATGCAATAAATCCTCTCATTGTTTATAGTGAAAGTAATCTAGAATGAAGGTAAACGTGAGCATTCTGACCTGACGTTGACGAGAGCGTGAGTAACTTTACTAGCAGGCTCCTTCCACTGGCCTGCGTTGGTCGAGACTCGCAGCACTGCGGCGTCATGAAGATCAGGTCAGTGCTTTAGTGATGATGGATGAAAATAAACATGTACGCAGCAGGACTGAGCCCAGCTGACTTACCCATGCAGTAGAGGTTCTCAAACACCTGATGCATGCGTATAATCTCATAATAGAGCTCGTCGTAACTGCTGGGCGTGGGCAGAAACGTGTCTCCATACGTGATGAACATGTTAAAGAGGTTCACCACCTAAAGCAGACAAAAACATGTCAAGTAAGGTGAGAAATGCCCAATCAGTACTTAAAAACATGACAGACCGCCGCTCGCAGCGAGTGTGATTTACCTGAAGAGCCAGCTGGAAGATATTGTGCTTCGCCAGAAGGATGGTCTCATTAGACAGCAGGAACTTCAGAAGGTTAATGAGAGCTGGAAAACACAATCAATACAGCCATCTGATGAAACAGCTTTGTTCACACGAAAATAATCACTGTTTTGACCTGTGACTCCACACAACATTATCAGATCCATTATCAGGGGTTGCAGAGAGATATAGGCAAACAGAGTTGCATTTTTTATGGTTAGAAATAAAAAAAACTCCGAAAAAAAAGAAGAAAAAAAAAACATACACAAAGTAAAAAAGAAAATAAAAGAACATTTTTTGTTTTTCATTTGCTTTTGATTTGTTGTTGTACTTTCTATTTATTTATTTAATTATATTTATGTAAATAAATAGAATGTATTTATATTTATATAAAGTATTTTATATTTATATAAGAAAGTTATATTAACCTAAATACATAGAAAGTACAAAAACAAAACAAAAAAACAACAAAAAAACGAAAAAAAAAAAAAACTAAAGCAAAAGAAACAGAAAAAGAAATAAAAAACAAAAGTGAATAATAAACAGAAAAACTAAAAAAAAAAACAAATCAAAGAAAAACAAAAAATACAATAAACAAAAATAAATCAAAAACAAAAGAACAAAAAACTAAAAAAAAAGCAAAGGAAAAAACAAAAGAAAAGAAATCAAAACCAAAAGTGAATAAAAATAATTGTAAAAAAAATAATAATAATAACAAGAACAAAAAAAAAACAAAGAACAAAAAACTAAAACAAAAGCAAAGGAAAAAACTAAAAAAGAACAAAAACAAAACCAAATGCCAAGGAGGAAAAAAAAACAAAAACAAAAAAGAAACTAAATAAAAAACAGTGAGTTAAAAAAGCAAAGAAAAAATAAAATAAACAAAAAATAAATAAAATCAAGAACAAAAACAAAACAAAAACACAAATGAAAAAAAAAATAAAAACAAAAGCGAAGAAGAAAAACAAAACAAAAATAAAAAAGTGAATAAAAATAAATAATCAAAAAAGAACAAAAAAACAAAAATGAATCAAAAAAGTTACGAAAAAAACAACAACTACATTTACATTTAGTCATTTAGCAGATGTTTTTATCAAAGCAACTTAAAAAAAGAGGACAATAGAAGCAATCAAACCAACAAAAGAGCAACAACAATAAGTGTAAAACTACATATTACTATATACATTATATATTTACTATATGCAAAACTAAAGCAAAATAGCAAACCAAAACAGAATGACACAGAGTGCATGGCTGTGTTTTACTCAGACACACACCGTAACCATCATACCTGACCAGAGCTCTCTCCACGTGTAGTGCATCCTAATTCTGCACTTCTTCTGGTAGCAGATCAGTTTGTGAATTATCTGAACGCAGCGCCTAAAATAAATCACTTAATTAATTCTCACCATATCCACATTTATCTAAGCATCGCAGTATCTAAAACAGCATATTAAAAGGAAACTCACACGTAGAGATCCATAGGAAACTCCTTCATCATATGAGTAATGATAAACTCAACCATCAGATCTGCAAAGACAAAAAAACTCACATAAACGCTCACAAAATGATAGAGCCATTCACACGATGAATCCCTCATTCTGAACACAAAACTCACCCAGAACTGCACAAACTAAAGGCCGAGAGGGGATGCTCTTATCCGCGGCTTTCTTTCGATGTCTCATGGGCTGAAATACAGGAGTGTCAGTAAGAGAAATTACTTCACTCAAAAGCTACACTGAACTATCCCTTAGAGACCGGCTAAGGTTGATTTCAGTCAGAACACAAATGATCCTGCTTTCACGTGGAGAGACGGAGGCTAGATAACTGGATTTACCGCAGCAGCAGCAGGTAACGTCTGGGACGTCCCATTTCGTAATGGATCAGCTGTATCATGCAGCCAGGCAACTTGCTGCTTTGTATGCCAGAAACATCGTCTTCATTTGGATTCTGCCATTTACAGACAACTGAGACCCGAGCAGAGACGCTTACCATTCTGTGCAAGTTGACCCTGAAGTTCATGTTATCATCGTGGAGAAAGGCGTCGGCGTACTGGTCCTGTTAAACAGACAGCGAGAGCACAAACGGTCAAAGAGTGAACGAACTCACAGGAAAAAAAAAATTGTAATTACCCACAATGCATTACCTCGGCTATGCAGGTCAGAATGATGAGGCACAGCCTGGCACTGTTGAGTCTGTGTTCATCTGAAAACACACAGAGGAAATCTATTGTAAGATGTGCACAAAAGACTGGCTTAAAACTAAGAGAAATAAATGGCTCCGTTCCAAATTCTAGTGAGCTCCCTACTTAGGCAGCATTTTAAGGCACGAAGCGCTTCGGCACAAAAGCTTTTCCAAAATATAGATTAGGTTATGCTGCCTTCTATTAAACATCTTTTGCAAAAATTAAAGAGTGCATGTATCCTTTGTAAAGAACACAATCCCATAATGCATTGCAACAAACGCAAAAATCCAAAATGGTGGACGAAGCGGGAAAAATGCCGATAATAACTATAATACCTCAAACACCAAGTACTGTTTAGTTTAATCTGATTAAAAATTGACTATTTTAGCTAAAATGTGTGTCCTTCATGCTTTTATCATGTTGTTAGCTTAGCGACATGCTAACAACAAACTCTGAGTTTGTACGTTAGGCTGTAGACAGCAAGGAAGCTCACTAGGTTTTGGACAGCACAGACTAGACAAACAGTGATATCTTGCCTTTGGTGTCCTGCATTACGATGGAGGAATATTTGAGGAAGGTTATAAGAAGATTACTCGTCTGCAAGTTTGGGTCCAGAGGAAGCTCAGGATTATTCATCACTGCAAGGACAGAATGAAAGAATGGTGAATCATTTCTGAGAATGATCATTCGCCCCAATTTTGCGTACCTATACTACACATTAAAAGTATATACTTCGTATTGAGAAAGTCCACACTTAAGAGTAATATGTTTTTTTTTAAAGTACTATAATCTTGCATACTGTTTAGGATTGATACACAGCACAAGGTAAAGCTCCATTCATAGTAAGAATGATAACTATAATGATTTTAGCATCCACGCTTGCTGCCACTCCGTTTCGTCGTCTGCCGCTGTAAATGCTCACGATCTGTAAAGTCGGGTGGATTCTGATTGGCTGTCAATGTTCTATTGTTTATCAGCTGGGAATAAAAATCCTTTCTGAAAGAGATTCCAATGACATTGTTCCTCTGCGTCATTATCATTATAGCAGTGGTGTGGATGTTGCCATTCTTATACAATTAGAACTATTATTAAAACATTATAGTTATTGTTAAATTAGAACGAATATTAAAAAAACTATAGATATTGTTAAATTAGAATGATTATTAAAATGTTATTTTTTGTTAAATTAGGATGAATATTAGAACATTATAGTTTTTGTTACATTTTAATGATTATTAAAATGTTAGTTACTGTTAAATCAGAACAATTAAAACGTTACAGTTATTGCTAAATTACAATGATTATTAAAATGTTATAGTTTATGTTAAATTAGGACGATTGTTAGAACATTAGTTTTTGTTAAATTTTAACGATTATTAAAACGTTACAATTATTGTTAAATTAGGATGATTGTTAGAACATTATAGTTCCCTTTCAGTCGGTCACTCTCGACGTCACGTCGGATGACCGACGAATTGGGATCTCGCTTAGAGAGACAAATCAATCTACTTCGAGTGTAAACTAAACGAGCCAATGCACATTGGCATGCGATTATTGCATCCAGCTGCCGCTGATCACAGCGTGAGTATAAGTAGGCAGCAGATGCAGCGCATATTCAGCTTTTCGCTTCGGAGCTGAGCGATCACATCGTTCTGCTCCTGACTACTCTACTGAGAGAAGAAGACTGAACGAGTTCAGCGCGCTCTTGGAGAGCTAAATTAGAATGATTAGAAAATTATAGATTTTTTATTTTAACGATTATTAAAACGTTACAGTTTTGTTAAATTAGTACGATTGTTAGAACATTATAGTTTTTGTTAAAATTTAAATTAGAACGAATATTAAAAAATTATAGTTATTGTTAAATTAGAACAATTATTAAAATGTTAGTTTTTGTTAAATTAGGATGATTGTTAGAACATTATAGTTTTTGTTACATTTTAATGATTATTAAAATGTTAGTTACTGTTAAATCATAACAATTATTAAAACCTTAGTTATTGTTAAATTACAATGATAATTAGAAAATTATATATTGTTTTAGTGCTGGGCGGTATGACCAAAAATTTATATCACGGTATTTTTCAAAATTATACCGGTTTCACGGTACAA